CTCTCCATAGCTCCATAGCACGCGTTGGTGTATAGTCTCGTTTTCAAGTTTTGAGGTACACCTGACGCTAAGATGTGCCGTAATTTCCCGAACGCTGCCCAACCGAGTTGAATCCGTCGATTGACCTCTCGGTCGAAGTTGGACTTACCCAGTCTTGGTATTTGTTCCAGGTAAACATACTTGTCAACAACTTCGAGCGTAGTGCTCCCAACAACTACCGGCATAATTATGACATGGACGTTATACATGATCTTTGTTTTGTCCATGTTAATTTTAAGGCCTATTCGTTGGGAGATACTATTGAGGTCATTGATCATAGTGCTTAGGTTCTCCAGCAATTCTGCCATAAGAACTACATCGTCAGAAAATCGAAGGTGAGTCATGTACTCGCCGTTGATATTAATACCGTATTTTTTCCAGTCCAGAAGCTTGTAAACGTCTTCCAATGCACCGGTGAAGAGTTTCGGTAATATAACACCACCCTGTCTTACACCTCTCTGCAGATTGATAGGTTTCTGGTTCTATATTCGAATAGTCGTCTTAGTCCAATTGTACAAACACTTCAGCACTGCGATATACCCACAGTCAACTTCGCACCGCTGAAGGGACTTCAGCACCGCCCAAATTTCGACGGAATCCAAGGCTTTCTCATAGTCCACATACGCCAGACATATTGACAAATTGTACTCCTCGAACTTCTGTACAATTTGCCGAAGGATATGTATGTGGTCTATGGTGTTAAAGCAGCTTTTTCGTGAGGCTGGAAGTCGTCGAGTCTGCATGCGAGACGATTCGTAATGACTCTCAAAAACAGCATGTAGACACGGCTCAGAAGTGAAATAGGTCTTTAGTTCTTCAAGAAAGCATTGTTGCCTTTCTTAAACAACAAGACCACTGCACTTCTGCTCCACGCTTCCAGTGTAGTGCCACCATGGAGGACGAAATTAAAGAGCTTTTGAAGGATTTTAAGTACCGGTTTTCCACCCGCTTTCAGAAGCTCCGCTGTAATTCCATCCTCACCTGGGGCCTTTTTAAGGTGCTGGAGAAGATTGGCTACATCTTAAAGTAATTAAAACATACTTCAAGCCGCCGAGGACGATTAGTCAGTAGTTTTTTCCATCAGTCAAGCGTAAAGTCCCTCTGCAAGATGCAGAAGTATACAAGCTTGATTGTGAATATAGTGTCTCTTATATAGGTCAAACTAAAAGATCAATAAAACCCGCATTAAAGAACACATAGCTGACGCGAAGAAGTCTGCAGTTCGTAAACACGTACAGGATTGCGCCCGTCACTACATTAGATTTGATAGACCACAAATCCTCGCTAAAGAACACCAATTCCTTCCAAGGATGTTTCACGAGGCTATTGAAATTAAAAAACATCCTAATTTCAATAGAGAACATGGCTGGGTGCTACCATGTGCTCGGGATCCTATCCTATCCTAACCCAAGCATACGATTGCAAGACTTCAAGATGCTGTAAGTTCATATTGCGTAGATCGGAACAAAAATTAATAATTTTAATCTGGAGGTAGCCGTGGTTAACTATGACATTGGGAAGTCAAACACTTCAGTCGCCCCTGTGACCATAGGTGCTGTAAAGTGCTCGAAACGTCGGGAATATAAAAGAAGTTAATATACGCGATAAAATCCGTGAAACTAGTTTTATTGAAATATAAAATTATTTTTGAGGATAGATGCTGTGTGGCATCCACTTATAATCAGGTGGGCTATGTTTATATGTCTGCTTGTCACCCCTATTTTATAAAAAATATAAAAATACTAATAATAATAAATATTATTGCATTATTGGTTCAACTGCTTTCGTTCGGAAAATTTTAACCTCACAAGTGAACATTGCCGCCGCCATGTTCACTTGTGCAACATTGCAAATCGGTAAAATAATGAATCTTGACAAATGTATACCTCTGTAACTGAGTAACGCACAGCGAGAGGCTCGCGCCCACGCTTGCATATATATATGTGTGTGTGTAATATTACTAAATCAGAATTATAGAAAGAAGGAACTTTTCAATTGAATTGATTACTGCGGTGAGAAATAGATCGTATAAGATAAGTACATCATCATAGTTACACAAGTTAGATCGAAGTTCCCAAGCCAAACATTGCCCAAAATGAAAGTTTGGGCAAATATTTCATAGTTCATCGGTTTTCTTGCAGCAGAGCTCTATGACAAGAGCATCAACAGTTTGTTGATAAAATTTTAAAAGTTTATTTAAAAAAAATTCATATAGATAGACATCGCTTAGATAATATTTGTTGACTTGTTAATTTATTTTTATATTATTTACACAAACATATTTGACACATTATGCATTAAATTAACAAACTAGTGCAAAGAAAAAAAAAGAGTTTTTTGAATGATACTTTAACCTTCACCCATTTTGCTTTATATTAAGAATGTCTAAAAGTGAGCACACCAAGGAAAAAATATAATTATATTTCAAGGGGGAAGCGAAAAATGTTCAGATTGTTTGTCTCGTTTTTTTTAATGTATATTTTAGTGGTAATATGGAACATCCGTTCTCTTACAAGCAACTTAATCGCTAACTAAAAAAAAAATCTTAAAATTAGTTTTTTTTTCTTTATTAAATTCGCATAAGTAAAGGAACGAATTTAGTTACATTCCTGTCTAGATCATTAGTTAGATTACGGAAGATTTGTAAGTTCTTGGTTAGTAAAAATGATTAAATAGTTTTTGATTTATTGGTGTTGTTTTTAATTATGAGTAACATATTAAAAATAATTTCATTTAAAAAAAATATTGACCAATTTAACATTAAAATTATGAATACACCTTCACCTCTTAATTACATCTTTAATCTGAGCTTAGTCAGCGTAATGTCAGTGCGCAATTTCATTTTCGCCGTTCTGCTGTTCAAAGAGAGTACCATCGATAGATATAGCCTTCACCATCCAGCTAAACCAGATAAAGTCATGTCATGTAACCGTATTGTTACATTTAATTGTAAATCTGTAAAAAGGGCGGTCGAGGGGGTCCGTCAGCTATGTAAGACAGCTGATATAATAGCTCTTCAAGAAACATAGCTCCTGCCACATGACCTGTCGTATCTTGAGAATATTCATGCTGATTTTGGGAGCACCGGGACGTCTGCTGTGGACACAACGACTGGAGTATTGGAGGGGCGACCCTATGGGGGGGTCGCGCTGCTATGGAGAAAAAGTGTGCTCCCCTGTGTATCCGTAATACCGTGTTCAAGTGCTCGTATTTGTGCCATTAAAATTGATATCGGTAATCAAAAGCTAATAGTGTGTAGTGTATATATGCCCGTTGATTGCACTGAAAACTTAACAGATTTTACGGATTGCTTAAGCTATTTAAATGCTATAGTGGAAGAAAGTGAATGTGAGACAGTGTTCCTACTGGGGGACTATAATGCTCACCCAGGGCGGCCGTTTTATGATGAGCTGAAAAACTTTTGCGCGGAACAGGACTGGTTTTGTGCGGACGTGAGTACTCTGGACTGTAATTCATTTACATACGTCAGTGACGCGCATGGGACTGGGAGGTGGTTAGATCATTGTATAGTGACGGAGTCAGCGTATAAATTAATAAATAACACGAAGATTTTATATGATGTATACTGGTCTGACCACTTCCCACTCTTGATTGAATGTAGATTAAACTGCGTTATACCTAAGGCGGTTCCTAAAATTATAACGTCAAATAAAATAAAATGGGGATGCAGAACTGATGTACAAATAACTCATTATACAGAATTATGTAACAACAACCTTAAATCAATACATTTTCCATCAGAATTTATAAAATGTAGCTATGGTTTTTGTAAAGACATGAGCCATAGGAGTGTCATAGATGATTTATATAAAAACATAGTGTCTGTTTTATCATGTGCAGCAATCGAAACTCACCAAGGAAATATGAATAAAGACAAAAAACGTGTATTAATAGGGTGGAATAAGCATGTCGGTGAGGCACACAGGGAGGCTAGGTCCAAATTTATGATATGGGTATGGTATGGTCGACCGAGGCAGGGTTTTGTCTATGATGAGATGGTTAACAGCCGCCGTGTCTTCAAGAGTAGATTGAAGTGGTGCCAAAATCATCAGAATCAACTAAAAATGGATAAATTGGCTATTTATCATTCAAAACAAGACTTTAAAAAGTTTTGGAAGTCTACAAATAAACTCAACGTTGGACCTAGTCTCCCTGAAGCAATAAATGGGGTTAGTAACATGAAGCAAATTGCAAATCTTTTCAGGGATCAGTTTATGGTCACGTCACCCTTAGGGCCGTCGTCACACCCCGTGTCAAATACTGAGACCAAGCGTGAACTCAAAATGGTAGCGAGTGACAAAATGATAGCACGTGTTATTCGAACTATGGTTGCAGGTAAGTCACCCGGTCACGATGGTCTCAGTATTGAGCACTTTAAATATGCAGGTGTGCATTTACCTAGAGTTTTGGCACAATTATTTAATGTTTGTGTTTCGCATTCGTACTTGCCTGCCGACTTAATGAGAACTTCAGTTGTCCCCATTGTAAAAAACCGTACTGGTGACGTATCAGAGAGATCGAACTACAGACCAATATCATTGGCAACGACAATAGCCAAGATATTTGACAGTGTGCTTAACTCTATTCTAGAAAACCACTGTACGCTACATGATGGCCAGCACGGTTTTACGCGTGGTCTATCGACAGAAACAGCAATAATGAATTTAAAGCATACTGTCAAATATTACACGGACAGGCGCACACCGGTGTACGCCTGTTTCCTAGATCTGAGTAAAGCTTTCGATCTTGTCTCGTACGACATCATGTGGCGTAAGTTAGAAGGCGTAGGCTTACCTGACGGCTACACCGATTTGCTTAAATATTGGTATAGTAATCAGGTGAACTATGTGAGATGGGCAAATTAATATTCCGAGCCATACAGGATGGAGTGCGAGGTGAGGCAAGGGGGGCTGACATCGCCGAGGCTCTTCAACCTGTATATGGACGCACTGATTCGAGAGCTCAGCAGCATGCGTGTCGGATGCCATATCGGCAAGGTCTGTGTGAACAATAACAGCTATGCGGACGATATGGTTCTGCTGGCACCCTCAGTTAGTGCGCTGAGAGCTTTACTCGGTGTTTGCGAAAAGTTTGCTGTCTCACATGGTTTACAATACAATACCAAAAAGTCACAGTTCATGGTGTTTAAGGCTGGCAGTAGATGTCCTAGTGTTGTACCCCCTATAAAGCTCTATAACGAACCACTAGAAAGGGTCTATAGTTTTAAATATCTTGGACATATTTTGACTGACAGTCTTAAAGACGATGAAGACATTGAAAGAGAACGTAGGGCACTGTCGGTCAGGGCGAATATGTTGGTGCATAGATTTGGTCGCTGCACTGACGCTGTAAAGATCACGCTTTTCAAAGCATATTGTACGTCATTTTATTCTTGCAGCCTATGGACCAACTACACCAAAAAGGCCTATAGTGCCCTACGTACTCAATACAATAATGCATTTAGGGCGCTGTTGCGGCTGCCGCGCTACTGTAGCGCGTCTGCGATGTTTGCACTGGCGGGTGTGGATAGCTTTGATGCAATAATCAGAAAAAAGACCGCATCCTTGCTAAACAGAGTGCGCGGCAGCGGCCACAGTGTGCTGAGTGAGATTGCAGACAGTGGGGACTGTCCACTGATTAAACAAATGATCGCCAGGACTATGTCCTGTTTAATAATTAAGTATTGAGTATAAATTATATTACTAACATAGATGTAAGTTTTTCTTTACTAACAAATTCTATGGATCTTGTTGTCCGAAATAAATTATTTCTATTTTATATTATTATTATTAAACCACAATTCCAAGTGACGATAGAAACACGGTAGGCGACAAGCCTCCCTTGAAATTAAGATAAGTTACTAAAATTAATTCTAATAAAAGTAAGTTTACGGATTTTATCGCGTTTTATTTACTTATTTAATTCTAGATGTTTCAAGTGCTTTACAGCATCCCATGGTCACGGGTGGGACTGAGATATTTGACGTCCCGATGTCATATATACATAGTTAGCCGGCCTACCTTCAGTTTTTGAATATTAATTTTTGGTTCGATCTGCGCAGAATGAGCTTAAATTATCTTGAAGTCTTGCAGTGGTATGCTTGGGTTTGGATTTAATTTTGTTAATTATAGGATCCCAAGCAGAAGAGAAATTAGGTTATTAGATTTATTCAATGTTTAATGTTCGCGTATATATAAGAAATCATTAAAGTAAATTTTAGTTTAGTTAAACTATTTTTTTCTTTATAAATCCCTTGTGAAAGGCAGACACACGACTTGTCACCCTTAAACTATATTATTCAGTACCTGAGTCGCTATCAGGAAGACGCTGCTGCTTATCACGATGCTCAAGGGATGATGTGGACTAGTGGACTATCTTACGCCGCTGCTACACAACGTTTATTTATTCATACACTCTTATTAAGATACTTCAATCTAAATCATAAAATATCACACCTATATTTTTAAACTAGAACCTTTGATATTTTTCAAAAGCAGTGAGTGTAAATGATTCGAGTTTTATGAAGCTGTTATTAAGGATAAATTAGCAAGCGTTTATAAAGCTAACGACCAATTAACAGAGTCATGAGCACTCTGCTGCTAGTAAAGTTTTCTAAAACTGCTTTGATTTTAATGAGCCATTTTATTATTTGCAGTAACATGGAAGATTTTAAAAGCTAAGATAGTTGAATAAACCGAATGAAATATGTGCAACCTTAAACCAATATTGTTATAGAAATATACAGCGAAGTGTATAGAGCATATAATATATTTGTTATCTTTTTTTTATTTTAAAAAACGTTACCCCCACACTAGGATTTTCTCCTGTGTCGTGGAGGCAGTTTACAAACATAAATTGCACAAGGACAAACATCCAGACCCGGAACAATTATTTGTAGGCCATACAAATACTTGTTCCGTGCGGGATTCGAACCCGCGTCCCCCAGCGCAACAACTGATTGCTAAGCCACTGCGCCACGGAGCCGTCAAGTATAATAACAGCTTGTGAGGCATTCAAAGTTAGTCCTCAGAGGTGATCATTTTCTGCTGTGTTAAAAGTTAGTTGCAGTACGAGTATTCAATATTGGGTGAAAAGTAAGGTAGTTTTTCACTTCAACTTTTAATAGGAAGGATTTGCCAGTATCGCAACGCTTACATCGTTTTCGCTGCTCCCCGTCAATAGGCTGATTATTTTATGATTACCGTAAAGAGATTGTACTACTACCATCTATTAGAAGCTTTGACATTTTTTTAGCATTTCCGTAGTTTCTCTAACGACATCTATAGACTGAAATGCCAAATAAAATTCCGCCCACACCTACAAACCTATTGAATTCACGTTTTAAGTAGAAAAATTAAAAAAAAAAATACTATGCAAAGTATTGTTCATTATTGTCAATATACTTTTGGCATTTTATAAGGAGCTTCCCCTTTTTTGCCTTTTGATTTGATTTGATGCCTCCGTTTTAAAACTATGTACCTCGATGGATGAACTCTGAGGCATTTTACCGCCTCATCAGAATTGAAGTTTTTCATAGTAACATAGAATTGAAAACTATATATAAATCAATTGACGTGCGTTAGTCTCGCAAAAACTGAAAAATGGATCGAACGATTTTAATGAATTTTAATGAATGTGTTGATTAAATAACAAACTGCTGGTTCAGATTCATTACAAAGGACGATTATGCGTATATTAAATTTTGACTGTAGGGTGCGTTGCAAGCGGTGAGAATTTACTATTTCGCGATACTGCAAATGTCCTAGATTCGGGATTTCGGGAAAACCGAAATTAGACTATTTTTGTAGTACTCTTTCTTATTGGATAATAATTTACTAATCGCTAGAGTTAACTCTATTCGCGATTTAAGAGTGATTTTTGACTTCAAATTACTCTTTAATGAACATATTGATAATATTATAATTCAAAAATAAAAATTTTGTACAACCGTCTTTAATATAAATTGTTAAGAATAACTCAAAAACTATTGATCACACCTTAATTAAATTTATATAGGACTACATGAAAAGCACCAGATTACATATAAAAAAATTATCGAAATTGGTTCACCCAGAAAAAAGTTATGAGGTGACACACATAAAAAAAAACAAAAACAACATAAAGTCGAATTGAGTACCTCCTCTTGTTTGAAGTCGGTAGATAAAGAAACCTCCTAAAGCGCTTCGTTTTACTTTCAGAATGTCTTCTGAAAACATCTAAAATTCTTTGCTGTACTTTCATACGAAATCATCTAGAGTACGCCTCTCAAATATGGAACCCTACTTATAATATTAATTATACGCGTATTGAACGGATTCAGAAAAAAATTTTGTCACTACCTTCAATTTAGAGTTAAGATTTATCTACCATATTACAACTTGTTGACGAAAGTTTCACATTTTGTCGCTATACGAAAGAAGGCGCATAATAATAATAATAATAATAAGCCCCTTAAAATCCAACCACAAGTCCTGTTCCGGACATCTGAACACGTGGGGGGCGGGCAACACTACATTTCTATTACTGGAGTGGCCAACGTGGCAAAAGTAACCCATTCAAACCATGGAGACACGATCAAAGTGTAAACGTTTAATGTCGCTACCCGGGGGTTATCGCTGGGGCACACCTGGAACTGACGCTGAGTGTTGCGGTGGACGAGTCGTCGGCGGTGAGGAGTTGATTAGGCGGGCTCCCACCGGGTCACCCGAAAATGCTACAGCCAAACAAATACATTTAACCTTACCCAAAAACATATCTTCTTCTACGTTACAACCGTGCTACCCAAGTACTGATCCTAATACACCCTCACACTAGTAACTGAAGATAATAGAGAATCCGTAATCCCTGCCTCTGATGTTGCGCAGGAGGCTACTCAGGCCTTTCTACCTGCGTCCACAAAGGCAGGAAATCCCAAAATGCGCATGAAATGGACATCTGAAGTTAATACATTTATCATGCGCATATATTACTATATCACGAAGTTAGAAATCGATTTAACCATATATAGAACCCTTCTTCACCAAAAATTTACGGAACAGTACCCAGGAATAAACGTCTCAAAACAAAGATTACCTGATCAAAGAAGAGTAGTAAGGAATATATTAATTGAAGAAGAAAAGACACACAAAGACTCATATACCGCAATATCAACGTTGGCAAAATGTAAAAAACTACTATCATACAATTCCTCACACCATCCTAGCACTCAATATAAAAATAACACGCATTCGCAATCAACAAACTTAATGGTAGAGGTACCAGACATGCAATTGCAGACACAAAATCCATTAACTAGAAGCACACCAATGTACTAAAATTGTAATCTTATGTCAGACATATCCATTCAAACAGATACCCTGGTAACAAACACCATGATAATTGAAAACGAAATAGAGACACTAGTCCTAGATGAAATAGACAACCATTTAATGAAATCACAACTAAGGGAAAAACTACAAACCGCTATCTTACAATATGCTGGAGTAGACCTTACAGTGCGACCTAAGCTCCCAAAGCTTAAATATAGCAGACAACTCTTAAAACGAATACACATATTTTATAACAACATTTTGAGTCAATACATACATGAGACCTCAAAAATTACTGATATTCACACAATTATTTACTATACTCCATTTGTAATATCTCAAATGACAAGCTCACAAAACGTAAACAGGACACCACACCAATCAGGAAGATAGTATATAGAGTTACAGCGATATTTAAAATCACAATTTTACATACAAGACATGAAAGTAACAAAAGCAGACCGGAAGAATTCCTTGATACCCTAAAACAAAAATTAGCCCTTAAATGCAATAGACTCAAAAGATATAAAAAACCGGCAAAGTGCGAGTTGGACTCGCGCACCGAGGGTTCCGAACAAATCTGTAGGTATATAAGTTTAAAATTATTAAAAATATTTTTATTATATGATGTGACTAAAAATTTATGTTTTTCGCAATTTTTCCTTTATCTGTGCTATAAAACGTTGCTTCGTACCAAATTTCAAGATTCTGAGTTCACGGGAAGTACTCTGTAGGTTTTGATTCCCTTGCTAATGTCCAAAATTTACGGCATAAACGGCTGTATCTCTTGATTACGTTAGCTTAGAAGTTTGATTTTTTCACAATTCTAAGGGACAGTAGACTTGACTATTCAATATGAATTTCAGCTTGATACCTCCCCGCGTTCCTGAGAAAAAGGGTCTTGACAGACTGACAGACAGACAGACGGACAACAAAGTGATCCTGTAAGGGTTCCATTTTTTCCTTTTGAGGTACGGAACCCTAAAAATCACTACAGAGAAAACAGGACAATAATTTAAAATAACGAAACAATATTTTACAGAAATTTAAATGCAAGCTTAAAAAACACAACAGCAGACAACATAAACAGACAACACCATGATACACCGAACAAAGAGAAGTTAGAATCCTTTTGGTCTAATATTTGGGAGACTCAAGTCACTCACAATACAGAAGCAAAATGGATATTACAAGAAAAAGCTCGATGGGAAGCAATAGATGAAATGAAATTTGAGAAAATTACAGCTGAAGATATAAGAACCATAACATATAAATTACATAATTGAAAATCGCCTGGTATAGATAAAATTCATAACTTTTGGTACAAAAAAATTAGAAGTCCTCCATAAATGTATAGCTAAAAACTTAACAGAAATTAT